TCAGGTTCACTCTTTCTTGGGTCTCTTGCTCTGTTCCCAGTTTTCCACTGCATAGCAGAGTTTCTCCAGAGGCCTCGGCATGTTGCCGGGAGCAGCTGCCTTAGCTGTAAACACCCGGATTGGCACTGGAAAAAACATCAACAGCAAGCAAGCTGCTTTGCCTTTCCACTGCCAGAGGCTCTGCACATGTAGAAACAGCACCATGAAAGGCATAACTTTAGATTTCCTCTTACGTAAATTAAAATTAATGAACTGCTTTCTTCATTTCGGATCTCATTTTTCCCTCTCGGAATAATAGTACCATAGATTCTATTCTACCAGGATGAAGGATCACCACTAAAGAAGCAGACATATCCATAAACATGAAAGTTAGATTTCCTACATGCTCAAGCGTTTTGCTGATCAAAACCTTTTTTTTTTTTTTTAACCTTAGTCATTTTGAAGGCTGGAGCCCATGTTAGTGAAAGCCTACTCACAGTTGATTAAGTACCACTTCCATTCAGGACTGCAATTCAGCACATCCTCATTGAGGGCTACTATGCGCAAGCTCTGCATGAAAAGCTGGGAGCCACCTAGAGGAGGATGTTGGCTCCTGCCCTAAGGAGCTCAGCTCAGTTCAGTAGGTGTTGTGTGCCTGCACTGATGCTTACTGCCCAACAAGGATTGACTTTACCATGTTGTGTTGCAGTATAAGTGCAAGAAGGGAAATTTTTTTAAACCTAGTGCCACAGGATTCAAAGACAGGAGGGTAGGATAGGTGGTTTAGAAAAAGTTTCTGGAAGCAGAGGCTGAACACAGTGGGGAAGACATAGACATTCACAAATGCTTAACTGAATGCCAGGCCTTGAATCAGGCTCATTCCAAATGTCATTCATCTTTTTTGAGACAGAGTCTTGCTCTGTCGCCCAGGCTGGAGTGCAGTGACGCGATTTTGACTCACTGCGGCCTCCGCCTCCCAGGTTCAAGTGATTCTCATGCCTCAGCTTCCCAAGTAGCTGGGACCACAGGCACATGACACGATGCCCAGCTAATTTTCATATTTTTAGTAGAGGTGAGGTTTCGCCATGTTGGCCAGGCTGGTCTTGAGTTCCTGACCTCAAGTGATCTGCCTGCCTCAACCTCCCGAAGTGTTGGGATTACAGGCATGGGCAACCACACCCGCCCTGCCATTCTTCTCTCTCTGCCGATCAGGCTGGAGTGCAGTAGTACAGTCATAGCTCACTGTAGTCTTGAACTCCTGGACTGAAGCGATCCTCCCATCTCAGCTTCCCCTGAGTAGCTGGTATTACAGGTACACGCCACCATACCTGGTTAATTTTTTATTATTTTTTTGTAGAGACAGGGTCTTTCTGTGTTGCCCAGGCTGGTCTCAGACTCGTCAAGTGATCTTCCTGTCTCAGCCTCCCAAAGCTCTGGTATTACAGGCATGAGCCACCACACCTGTCCTAATCTAATTTTCAAATATGATTTAAAGTACCTTGTTTGTAGTTAATTATAAATTAAAGAGATTGGAAAATATGGTCAGCAAAATACATGATCATACTAAACATACTATTTTAAAATTTGGTTTTACCAGTTAGTACCATTTTGGACATTTTCTATGTCATTAAGTATGCTTTTTCACAAACTCTTAAAGATGATTTCTTTCCTTGTCTTTTCTTTCTTTCTTTCTTTCTTTCTTTCTTTCTTTCTTTCTTTCTTTCTTTTCTTTTCTTTTCTTTTCTTTTCTTTTCTTTTCTTTTCTTTTTCTTTTTGGAGACAGGGTCTCACTGTGTTGCCCGGGCTAGAGTGCAGTGGCACAATCTTGCCTCACTGCAGCCTCAACCTTACAGGCTCAAGTGAACCTCCCACGTCAGCCTCCCAAGTAGCTGTGACTACAAGTGCATACCACCGCACTTGGCTGATTTTTATATTGTTTGTCAACACAGGGTTTCACCATGTTGCTCAGGCTGGTCTTGAACTCCTGAGCTTAGGCAGTCCACCGGCCTCAGCCTCACAAAGTGCTGGGATTACAGCTGTGAGCCTCTGCACCCGGCCACTGCATGATTTCTTTAACCATTTCCCTTGTAGCTAAGTGGGTAAGGAGATACAAATATAAGAAAAGTTAAATTCTTAAAGTGTTAGGAGAAATAGACAGTGGACTTATTTTTAAATGCATGATACTAAGGATAGAAACGTATGCCAGGCACAGTGGCTCATACCTGTAATCCCAGCACTTCAGGAGGCTGAGGAGGGCGGATCACCTGAGGTCAGGAGGTCAAGACCAACCTGGCCAACATGGTGAAAACCCGTCTCTACTAAAAATACAAAAAAAATTAGCCAGGCTTGGTGGCAGGCACCTGTAATCCCAGCAACTCAGGAGGCTGAGGCAGGAGAATTGCTTGAACCTCAGAGGCAGAGGTTGCAATGAGCTGAGATCATGCCACTGGACTCCAGCCTTGGCAACAGAGCAAGACTCTGTCTCAAAAAAAAAAAAAAAAAAAAGACACGTAATAGCAAAGATGAGTAGTTTTAAAAATCCTTTGGGTATCAAGAGTACTCTAAATAAAATGTAAAGGCATTATCTTGTTTAATTCTTACAATAGCTTTGTGAAGTAGGTACTTAGATTTCTTTTAGAGAAGGGGAAACTGAGGCACAGAGAACTGACAGTGTGGAAATCGGTGCTTTCTATGAGATTGATGATTTTGTGTGTGTGTGTGTGTGTGTGACTGAGTCTCACTCTGTCACCTAGGCTGGAGTGCAGTGGCGCAATCTCGGCTTGCTGCAACCTCCACCTCCCAGGTTCAAGCTATTCTTCTGTCTCAGCCTCACCAGTAGCTGGGACTAAAGGTGCGCACCACCATGTCTGGCTAATTTTTGGTTTTTGTTTTTGTTTTTATTTTTGTTTGGAAAGAGAGTCTCAGTCTGTCACCCACGCTGGAGTGCAGTGGCACCATCTCAGCTCCCAAGTAGCTGGGACAATAGACATGCACTACCACGCCCAGCTAATTTTTGTATTTTTTAGTAGAGATGGGGTTTCGCCATGTTGACCAGGCTGGTCTCGAACTCCTGGCCTCAAGTGATCCATCCACCTAGGCCTCCCAATGTGCTGGAATTATAGGCGCCCAGCCTAATTTTTGTAATTTTAGTAGAGACGGGGTTTCACCATGTTGGCCAGGCTGGTGTCACACTCCTGACCTCAAGTGATCTGCCTCCCTTGGCCTCTGAAAGTGCTGGGATTACAGGCATAAGCCACTGTGCCCAGTGAGATTGAGGATCTTGCTGCAGAACGAAAGCTGATAAAATAAGAGGCAGAGTGAGGAGGTAGCCCCAGTTTGGTCTTTCCATCAGCCTTGGATATGAATCCCAGCTTTACCACTTAGGAAAGGTGACGGAAGGGCCGCTTTTCAGACAGTTGAAAATACTGTATTTTCATTTCATATTTTAAATTGTTCATTTCCATATGCTTCTTCATTATAACTATTTTGACCAAAAAAAATAATAATAATGTGTTTAGATGTCTTGAACATCAGTTGTGTCTTAAAATGCAAAATTCCAGAGACAGCAAGAACAAATCAGATGCTAATTACAACTCCTTCTCCTATCCCTTATATGGCACACTATACTATCTCTTAAATAGTAGAGATTGTCAAGGTCACACTTGAATAGGGATGGTATAGGTATCGATCATTAACTACGTTTTAAAGAGATGGAAGGAAAAAAGTCAAAACTACGAGCTGTTACCAACTGGGTGAAATAAAGTAAGAGAGTTTCCAGCTATCATCATAGTTTATCAGTGGGAAAATTTGGAATAAAGAAATTTAGAATTTAAATGTTGTTTAGGTCATCTTTTGGTAGATTCAATCAAGTTTAAAATTCTACCATGTCTTGGATATGAGCAGACGGCTCATTGATGGCATTCAGTAAAATCTTTCTGTGTAGTTGGTTTAAAATTTGACTTAAAACAGGGACATAATATTTACCTTCTCTACAATAACAAAATTTATGTTATGTAATAACCTTGACAGGTTTACAAAATCATGTTTAATGGGCTCTCCAGAGCTCCGGTGAATACCACAATTTGGTCTGTTTTCAACATTTCTAAATAATCTGGGAAAGCTGTAGGAAATGAAATATCTGTCGTAAACTTTTTGTATCAGGCTTAACTACTGCTTTCTTGAAGTTTAGCAAAAGGATAAAGGACTGTATGTTCTTCATTAACTGTAGTCAAAACTGAATTTAAGGATTTTTGATAGCTGTTTAGAATTACTGTTTGAATCTCTACTACAAAGAATATTAAGATTTTTAGCATTTGAGAGTCCTAATATTCCCACTTAAAAATCATTAGACTTACTTTGGGAGGCCAAGACATGTGGATCACGTGGTCAGGAGTTCTAAACCAGCCTGGGCAACGTGGTGAAACCCCATCTCTACTAAAAATACAAAAATTAGCCAACCATGGTGGCACACACCTGTCATCCCAGCTACTCAGGAGGCTGAGGCAGGAGAATTGCTTGAACCTGGTGGGTAGAGGTTGCAGTGCGCCAAGATCGTGCCACTGCACTCCAGCCTGGGTGACTGAGCGAGACTCTGCCTAAAAATAAAAAAAATAAAAAATAAAAAACAGTAGACTTAGGGCCGGGTGCAGTGGCTTTTGCCTGTAGTCCCAGCACTTTGGGAGGTTGAGGCGGGCAGATCACTTGAGGCCAAAAGTTTAAGACCAACCTAGCCAACATGGTGAAACCTCATCTCTACTAAAAATACAAAAAAATTAGCCAGGCATGGTGGCACATGCTGGTAATTCCAGCTACTCAGGAGGCTGAGGCATGAGAATCACTTGAACCCAGAAGGTGGAGGTTGCAGTGAGCCAAGATCGCACCACTGCACTCCAGCCTGGATGACAGAGTGAGAGTGTTTCAAAAAAAAAATAAATCAGTAGACTTTATCATTTAATTCCAAGTATATACGTATATACTTGTAGACATGTATAATTTAGTACATTGTATTTTTTCCCAAACAGATAAATAATCAGATTCTGTATGGAAGAAGTCACCAAAATGCATCTGCCATTATTAAGACTGCCCCATCAAAGGTCAAGCTGGTTTTCATCAGGTAAGATTGCTAGATCTGGTTTTGCAAAATCAAAGACCTCTTCTGAAGATGTTATTAATGTAAGACTATGTCATCTTTGATTTGTCTAGCGAAATCACTAGATTTAAGAATATATGTTTCTTCTAAAAACATATATTCCTTTTGTAACTGTCACTTCAAGAAAAGTATTGCAGGGCGCGGTGGCTCACGCTTGTAATCCCAGCACTTTGGGAGGCCGAGGCGGGCGGATCACGAGGTCAGGAGATCGAGACCATCCTGGCTAATATGGTGAAACCCTGTCTCTACTAAAAATACGAAAAATTAGCCGGGCGTGGTGGTGGCGGGCGCCTGTAGTCCCCGCTACTCGGGAGGCTGAGGCAGGAGAATGGCGTGAGCCCGGGAGGCGGAGGTTGCAGTGAGCCAAGACTGCGCCACTGCACTCCAGCCTGGGTGACAGTGAGACTCTGTCTCAAAAAAAAGAAAAGTACTGATTGTTTTGATTATGAAGTTTTCTTACTTGCTTATGTTTCACAGCATAGAATCGGTAGCTGAGGCTAGTATTTATAATTCAGTTATAAAACATTCTTCCCTTTCTGGATCCATTTATCCTGTATATAAATATAATGAGACCTACTAACTTCTCTTCCTGTCACTATTATTTGGTACATTTGCTGAATCATTAATGTCTTCATTAAAGAATAAACAAGAAAATAGAACTGAGGACATTTTTAGGAGCTTCCTTGTAAGAGTGCTGGTGAGAAGCCCGGAGTAGAGATGTCAGCACTGCTGCCTAGAGTTGTATTGTGTGTTTGGGGCTTCACATTTACTCACACCTCCCCTGCAAGCTGATTGAGCCCTCTTGGTACAAGTAAATCAGAATTAGGGATCTGACTGTTTGTAACCAACATTGCCACATCAGCAGTAGAAATGAGGTTGTTTGATTCTCTTTATTGGACTGAAATGACAAGTAAATCTGAATTATTTTTAGGTCATGTACCTAACCCTCTATGTTCACTGTAGCTCTGCTTCTTTTTCCTTCTGGCACTCAGGTATCATCCGTAAAATGGGATAATAAAGCACCTCCCTCATTCATTGTGATATTTCAGAAATTGAAAATGCTCAATACAATATGTAGCAGAGAGTAAGGGGTGAAAGAATGTTAGCTGCTATTTTAGGATGATGACAATCATTATTATTCTTCCCTTTCTCATTAGTTACCAGCAGTAAGATCTGTCCATTCCCAGGGACCACTGGGATTAGGAGGTGGTTTTATTCCCAGCATGGGCACTAATGTGATTGAAATATTCCTTTCCACTTCTACTTTGCTCCTGAAGAAATCCTGCATTAGGACCAGGCACGGTGGCTCATGTCTGTAATCCCAGCAGTTTGGGAGGATCACCTGAGGTTAGGAGTTTGAGACCAGACTGGCCAACACAGCGAAACCTGTCTCTACTGAAAAATACAAAAAATTAGCCAGGTGTGATGGCACACAACTCTACTCCCAGCTACTCGGGAGGCTAAGGCAGGAGAATTGCTTGAACCCAGGAGGCAGAGGCTTCAGTGAGCTGAGATCGCACCATGCACTCCAGCCTGGACGACAGAGAAAGACTCTATCTCAAAAAAAAAAAGAAAAAAAAAAAAAAAGACCAGGCATGGTGGCTCATGTCTGTAATCCCAGCACTTTGGGAGGCTGAGGCGGGCAGATCACGATGTCAGGAGTTCGAGATCAGCCTGGCCAAGCCAACATGGTGAAACCCTGTCTCTACTAAAAATACAAAAATTAGCCAGGCGTGGTGGCGCACACCTGTAATCCCAGCTACTCAGGAGGCTGAGGCAGGAGAATTGCTTCTTGAACTCAGGAGGCAGAGGTTTCAGTGAGCCGAGATGACACCACTGTACTCCTACCTGGTTGACAGAGCGAGACTCTGTCTCAAAAAAAAAGGAAATCCTGTATTAGCATCCTTTTCTCCCACCTAGTGGCACTTTCTGGCTTTCTAGTTTTTTACTCTATTTTCAGAGAGTGAAAGCTTCCTCCTTCACATATGTCTTTGTATGTTAAGATGAGCCCTTTATCCTTACTCTCCTTTGACATCCTCTGTTAGACACCAGTCTCCTTTTTGGTTTTCTTGTCCTTTCTTTTGGCAAGGGTTATAAAATTAGAGTTAGTTGATTTAAAAAAAATTTGAGTAGACTTTGAAGAAAGGTCGGCACTCAAGAGATTCAGATGTTGTTCATTGAGAGAAGTCCACAAAAGTAGTGTGTTTAGACTTGAAAACTTTGCATAAAGTTGTGTGGGGGCCGGGCGCAGTGACTCACACCTGTAATCCCACCACTTTGGGAGGCCAAGGCAGTAGGATGGCTTGAGTTCAGGAGTTTAAGACTGGTCTGGGCAACATAGTGAGACCCAATCTGTGCAAAAGAAAAAAATTAGCCGGGTGTGGTGGCATGTGCCCTGTAGTCCCAGCTACTTGGGAGGCTGAGGCAGGAGCATCGCATGAGCCAAGGAGGTTGAGGCTGCAGTGAGCCATGATCACACCACTGCACTTCAGCTTGGGTGACAGCAAGACCTTGTCTCAAAAAAAAAAAAAAAAAGAAAAGCACACTGTGTGGCTAGTACATGAGAAGATGTATGTAGCACTTAACAGGGTCAGCATCTGCACATGGTATTTAGTACATAGTGATGGCTGCTACCACAAGAGCTATTATCAACATTACTTACCTCTTCAGCACATGTGGTGGGGCTTTTATTACCCACATGGGCCGTGCAATTTTAAAGAGAGCAAAAAGAACATTGAATAGAGTCCAAAGGAAATAATTTAATGCAATTGTGTCGTTGGGAAATAAAACCCTCCTCCTTCAATAAAGAAAGGTTAAATGATTTGAAATTATTTAGAAGACAGAAGAGAAACCTGAATAGAATTTTAATCATAGTAGTAAAGCTCCATCAATTTAGAGTCTGATTATTTCAGTTTTGATCATTGAACAGAACAGAATCAAGAAAAGAATTTGTTGAGTAAATCAATGGCATACACAAAATTAAGGATGCTACTGAATGCTTATTTACTGGAAGTGATTTTAAGCAATTTAGAAGTATCAATGTACATTTAAAATCTGTACTCTAATTCTTAGTCCATTCGGACTGCTGTAACAAAATACCCGAGTGTCTTACAAAGAACAGAAATTCATTTATTTATTTATTTATTTTGAGACAGAGTCTTGCTCTGTCACCCAGGCTGGAGTGCAGTGGTGCGATCTTGGCACACTGCAACCACTGCCTCCCAGGCTCAAACAATTCTCATGCCTCAGTCTCCCGAGTAGCTGGGACTACAGGTGTGTACCACCAGGCCCGGCTAATTTTTTTTGTATTTTAGTAGAGATGGGGTTTCACTGTGTTGGCCAGGCTGGTCTCAAACTGCTGGCCTCAATGGTCTGCCCACCTCAGCCTCCCAAAGTGCTGGGATCACAGACGTGAGCCACTGGGCCTGGCCCAGAAATTTATTTCTCACAGTTTTGGAGGCTACGAAGTTCGAGATCAAGGCTCTAGCAGATTTGGTGTCTGGGAGAGGGCCCGCTTCCTCTTTCATAGATCTATTCCGTGTATCCCATGTAACAGGAGGGGCTCCCTTGGGCCTGCTTTGTAAGGCAGTAATCCCACCATGAGGGCCCCACTCTCATGACGTAAACACCTTCCAAAAGGCCCTGCCTATTAATACCTTCATGTTGGTGATTCGGTTTCAACATAGGAATTTTGAGGGGACACAAACATTCAGACTGTAGCATGAACCTTTCCTGCAACCTTTCCTGCATGGTCTTTCAATTACAGTGTGTAGCATATAATGAGTGTTCAGAAAGCTTTATTGAATGAATTTCCTTTTTGCTCCTACTAAGCAGTTCTAGATTACTTATTGTCCAAAGGCAACAATTATAGTAAGTTCATTGTTGTTATTTTGTGGATTAAAAAATATATATTTCTGTAACTCAGTATTTTACAACATTCCTCATACCTCAGCCCCTCTTCCCAGTACTTTCCCAAATTAGCTAAGATTTTTTTATATCTTCTTTTATAGGGAGAAAAAACATATAGGAGTGATTCTGAATAATTATTTATTATAAGAATCCTGATTTTGCCTGTTTTAGAATCAAATCCTGAAGAAGTTAAAATTCGATTCATTACCAAGTTTCCAAAAGTTAACATTTAAATCATCTCAGCACCACAGATGCGATTTTGCTTGTCTTTTGAACTCTGCATAGCTTGTACTGTGTTATAATGTAACTTTGAAAACTAGTTTTTATAAATTGTATTTCTTTACAATTTGCACTTCTATTTGGCAAAATTTCCTTCCTTAGTTGAAATTATCCTCTGTGCTTTTCCATTATACAGAAAATTTTGGCTTTTATACGTTGGCAACTGTTTTTCAAATTTATTGACAATTGAGATGAAAATGGGAACTGGCCACAGGTTTTAGAGAATGATTAGCAGTAATCACAGAAAGCTATTAAAATATGCTGCAAGCAACATTTTAATTAACTAAGGCCTTTAGTCTATAGCAATGTACATTTTGTGATCAGGTCCTTGTCATATTCTTTTAGCACTTGTATTTATTCATATACTAATTCATCTGTAATTGGCAAGGGGTCTGTGGGTCATTAGCACAAATTAGCAAGGTGCAGCTATTGATACATGACTTACATAATCACTTTTTCCTTTTCACGTCATTAGATTTTGGACAATCCTGGAAATTGTACTCTAAACATATGGTCTCTGATACACTAAATTATTCAACTCCGTATCATCCAGATGCATATTACAATCTGGGTGCTTGCTATGCACTCTACATTCAGTTCTGTGGGTTTTCGTGTTTGGCATTCTCCCCTTCATGTGAGCACACCAAGTTAAGTACAGGAGGAGAACCGTATTAACACAACGAATAAATTGCTGTATTTGGCAGTGCAGGGATCCAAGGAGATTAATTATCTTGCCTGCAGCTCTTGTCATACCTTCCCCCACTATCAAAACTTGA